TGACCCAAAACAGGGCACATCTTCTTTTGACCGAGTAAACGCTGGTGGCGTGACCGAGTCAAAAGAAATTATCTTTGAAATTGTTCTTGTTCGTTGACATCCCCTTCTGGGACGTCACAATCTTCATCTTATATTTCAGACCAGCCCCTCTTTCTTCTGTCTATGAGTTCCTTTCTATGTGCTGGTTCTCCAATTAGCCACCAGTACCTGTTACTTAGCCTTCTGAAGTCCATTTTGTCGCAATCTGGGATTGTCATTGAGTAGACCCAGTCCGTGTTCGGCGACAAGACGTCTTCTGGCCTTAGTTCAATTTTCTTGTTGGCTTGGTGGCGGCGCCAATGGTATATGATCGGCTTGCTATTGGCGTCTTGGATCAACTCCAATTTTATCAAAATACGTGAACGCCTGCGGTGGGATACACGCCGAGTTTTGGTTCCTTGTCTTAGCCTTCGCGTCGTCGATTAACGCCAGTCTTTTTATTTCATTATTAGTACTGGCTGGCATTTTGCTTAAGTAATCTCTCGTTAGTTTTATGATGAAGTTGTCTATTCGTGAGATCCCCGCCAGCTTGTAGAGTATCCTATTACTGATGATTTTTTTATAATTCGACTCTCTTGATCGGTTTATTCCAAGGCATGCCTTTAAGCATTTCCTTTCGAAGATTCTCAGTTTTTCCATTTAAGATGCGCTGGCGTTCCACCATATGGGCGCCGGGTAGGTCAGAATCGGTCTCATTAGCAGTTGGTAGCATATAACTTTGGCCTTTCCATTTAGCTCTCTTGCGTGGAATAGTCTGTTGTTTGCCTTGAAAGCCATTYGTGCTTTATTCAGTGGCGTCTCGAGATGTCCGTTGAGCTGGGCGAGATGTTCAATGTGCATCCCGAGATATTTCACTGTAGTTTTTCTTGGTATTTGTACTAGTTCTCCTGTATTTGGATCCGTCGCCCTTATTCCGAATTCATTTTTGTTTCTTTTTTGGTGTCTGCCCATGTGTTCACAAGTTCTTCTGAACAGGATAGTCTCGMATTTTTGGTGGTTTACCCTCAGATTCCACATTCTGTAGAACCRATTGWTTTTATCAAGTAGGTCTTGAAGCTGTTCCTTAATCTTGTCTGGTGTTTTTTCAGACACRCAARCAATCACATCATYAGCGAATGCAATAGCTCGCTTGTTCTCTTTGTTAAGGTTGAACATTTTTAGTAGTGATACTGTGAAGATGACAAAAAGTATTGGGGATGAAACCGTGCCCTGTTGCAGCCCCTCCTCGATGTTAAAAATTCTGCTCGAGGTATTGTTACCGTCCCAGGTTATAAATTTTTTGTTATACACCATATCCAATGTGATAAGAGTTAGCCACGACGGGAACCCCAGTCTTATTAGTTTGTATATTAGTCCATCTAGCCACACCAAATCAAAGGCCTTTTCCAGATCGATCAGTACAGCCCCTATCATTATTCGGTTATAATGAAGTTTTTCTGTAAGGAAGTCCAGTAGGTAGTGGATAGCATGAATTGTGGAATGCTTGCGCCTGAACCCAAATTGCTGGTTTGGGATTAGAGAATTATTGTAGCAGAATTTATTTATCTGTGCTGTAATGATCGACTTATAGACCTTGCTGAGTACTGGCGTTAAGCTTATCGATCTGTAGCTCGATGGTTCTCCTGGGTCCTTATCTTTTTTTAGTATTGGTAATATTTCGGCTTTTTTCCATATTTTTGGATAGTAAGAGTGGTTTAGTGCGTTGTTGAAAATGACTACGAGGTTGCTCACTGCATTTATTAGCAGATGTTTTAGCACTATGGTGGGTATCTCGTCTAAACCGCTAGAGGTTTTGTTCGGTAGGTGCTTTAGTATTTTGTCTAAGCTGTTATAGTTGCAGTAGTAGGCGTTGGCTGCTTCATAATTCGGACGAGTTGCTCTGTTGGTATCGTTGAAGTTTAGGTGTKTGCATTTTRTTCTTCTGTTTTGTTCAAGTTCTTGTCTRATTTTTTCTGCCTTAGTTTYTACAATTTCTTTTAGCCTTGTGCCGTTGTTAAGGTKTCTTGTGGAATTGATGGATTCTAGGTAGTTTCCAATCACATTTAGTTTAGTTRTTGGATCRGTGATAATTATTTTGCCTTCTGTGTTTATGTTATCGGTGTTAAYGTTTAGTTTACCAATWATTGGATCGTTGGGATCAACCACCTGATCGCCAATYTTAACCCATTCTTTGCTTCTTARCAGTYTGTTAATCTTAGGGAAGAAGGTAGACGCATCTCGATGGTTTATCTGTTTTAGCTGCCCTTYGTAATAGCTGGCCGTCGCCCTAGCAAATTAATKTCTTAATTGCATTTTTAATGCATTTCATGATTACTTTGGTTATTATTATTTCGCTTCTCCATCTGTTTGGGTTGTTCCTTTGCATTTTGTGAAGTGTTTGGATGTACTTTGTTTTGTTCTTCTGCAGTTTTTTTATTTTGATATTGAGGTATTTGTGTATATTGTTATGAGGCTTGAATTTTGGTACTGTTTGTTCAATGGTTGTCAGTATTGCGTCGTTTAAGTCAGTAATGCTATTATCTATTTCGTCAAGATCTAGGTTTCTGTTGTCTGGGATTTTTTTGGTATAGTTCTTTTGCAGTTTTTTTTTTTTTGAATTCGGGCCATTTTGTTGCTTTGTAGTTGTAYCTGTGATTTTCGTTTCTACTATTGTCATATTCTGTATGATTAGGTAMTTTCACTGAAAACTGTAGCGCTTGGTGGTCGCTATCATAAGAGCGGGTTTTGATTTTACCATTTACCAGGTCTATTATTTGGAGGTTTGTTAGGCAGATATCTAGGTACGTTGAACTGTCCAAGCGGGTTGGGGTGGTGGTTGTGTATATTTTTACTCCGAATTTACTGGCATCGGAATATTCCCACTTTCTCATGTACTTGCCTCTTTCATTGTCGGCGTGGTCGCCCCATTCAGTTCTTCTCGCATTAMAGTCTCCAGCTATTACAAAGGCGCAGTCCCRATATTCGGCTKGAATTTTTGTCATTAAATGGTTGAGCTCATTGATGAATATAGATTTGTTGGAGTTTGTTGCGTATAGGCTCACTACAAATAAATTTTTAGGCAGATTATTGTTCGTTTTGATTTTTATTATTGTATATTCTATTATTTCGTTACCTGCTGAAGTAAGATAGTTTACGACATCATAGTTAATTTCCTTTTTTATTAAGGTTGCCGTTCCTCCTCCCTGTTTGGAATTCGGGCGGTCGGTTCTTACTATTTCATAGTTTTTATATTTAATTCTGTGATTAGCATTGAGTTTTGTCTCCCCGATATTAGGGCGATATCCGGAGAGGCGTCTTCCAGTAGAGCTAGTAGTTCTAATCTTCTGACGTTGTGTTGTATTAAGTTCACATTGATTGCTATTATTTTTATTATTTGGTGTGTCTTAATCTCATGTTTTCATTTCTGCGCACTGTATTAGTCATTTTTATATCCTAGCTGATCGAATAGAAAATTGACTTTTTTTTTATATCTTCGATTCTGTTAATTTGACTGTTGAGTTTTTCAACTGTTCTATCAATTTTTTGCATTCCTCTCATTAGTTCGTTTGCCCAGTTTGGCACTTCATTATTATTGTTATTTATGTCTTGTTGGTTAATCAGTTTTGGTTTTGGCCCTGGTTTAAACCATGCGTTTTGTGTTGGTTCGGTTTGATAGGTAGGCCTTGTTTTTGGTAAYAGTGGCCAGKCGTTAACGTCGYTTATTATTYTTTCGGTTGCCCTCCGTTGAAGACTTTCSTTGATKATGGCTCTTCTTYYTATCCTCTCTATYGCTTCTTTTTTGTATATCTTCGATTGTTCTGTTGCGAACTTTATATACGGGCAACCCTCGTAAGATGCTGGGTGTCCGTGTCTCCCACAGTTCACGCATAGTRGCATTTCTTTGGTGTCGTTTGCCGTGATTGTGCACTTGCCCCTTTCGTGACTTCCCCCGMATTTTACACATCGGTACTTCATTTGGCACTGTGAGGAAGTGTGCCCCACTATTTGGCAGTTTTTGCATTGTGTGATGCCTTTTTTGATCAGCTGTTCCCACCGCGTGTTTTGGCTGAGCAATTGACCCACCTTAAGCAAATCCTTTTTGTTGCTGTCAGGTTTAATTTGGATGATGAAATGTTGTTTCATATAGTTGCTTCTTTTGCATGGCATTGCAATTATCTTCGTTATTTCGACATTGCGGAGTTTGAGGTCTTCTAGTGCATTTTTTATGTCTTCGCTGCTATAGCCGCCGTAGAAGATTTTTAATACTGTTGATTGTGGTTTTAGCTCTTTTGGGGTGTATGTGTAATATTGTGCGTTGCTTTCTTTTAGCTTTTCTTTTATTAGGTTGCAGGTTTCGTTGTCCTTCGCTCTTATTAGGTGGCTACCGTTGTTTTGTCTGATTGTAAAATTTT